GTTGCTGAAACCTGCCCTACTTGCAAAAGTTTGCTACCGCCGCCCAACTGGGATAGTGGTTAGCGACGCTGACTGCCGCACCGAAGTGCCTGACTTCGAATCCCGAAGAAGGCATGGATGTTTGTAAATGTATAGTGTCTGTGCGAGATGGGAGCACTCTAAATATACAGCGAGCTGAAAGTCCTCTCTAAAGTTTGTGGTACGGCAAGAGGGGTGGGAGACCCTCGGCCCTGTCCCACAGTGGGCTTTCCATCAGTTGGGGAGAGCTAAGCAAAGTAGTACTCTTATGTATGATGCTCAAGGCTTTTGCCAATTACATGCGCAATCTTGCACTCCTTGCCACGATTCATGGGCTTATTCTGCTGTTACTGTCAGACAAGTGAGATAAGTCGCAACAACAACAAGTTTTATACCATCCTTATGCAAGTGTTCTTAAACAACCATTTGCACTCTAGTTCATTAAGTGTGCTCTCACAGCCACATATTAGGAAATATTCATTTTCACAACAGCTGAAAACAAATATGTCACTAATAATTGCAATTTAACATTACTTCTAAGTCCAATTTTTGAAAAGATATGGTACAAATCTCAGGAAAAAAACTTTTTCTAAATAAAATCTGAAAGCGTTCAGATTTTACATTACGCCCAAAGGGGCGTTTTTTTAACGTTCTGTGTGTTACCTTTATTTATTAAATATGTTCTTCGCACATCGGTTTTGTTTAATCACAATGCGAGAAACATACATACATTTACGCAGATTCTTCATTATTTAATTTCTTTAAATATAACTCAAGACGATAATATTTGCTGGCAACAATTTTAAAAGAGAACAGACATTTAAAGGTTTCAACGCAAGATGCCAAAATGAAATTAATAGCCCTTCGAGCTTAAAAAAAAAAAAAAAAAAATGTATTTCTCACTGTAAAATTTAACTCCGATAATCGCAAGGCGCTTAGCCAGTTGCTATAAAGGATCAACGCAGGTCATACTCAGAAGCTTCTCTAACCTAATGTCATAATTCTAACCGCTATACGTTCTGTGAAGTAAATTTAACTTCCGTATTTCTGGAATAAGTATTTTCGTTAGCTTGAAAAGAAAGGCTCTAATAAAATAAAATATAAACGATTAAATAAATCTTAATACCTCTTGTTATTCTTTCTGCAAGCTATTTCATTTCTGAATAAAATAAACTTGCAGAAAGAATAATATTTCCGAATGAAATAACTAATAATTCAGTCTTATTGTTCCTATTAAATTATTCGCTGATTACGTAAGTCACGTATTAGAACACCAGACGGAATCTAGTCTGAGATCATTATGGGTAGCAAGTGATTTTGTTCCGTTTTTTTTAATATGATAAAGCACTCTAGGGCTATCTGCCTAAAGGGACTAATGCCTTCATGGAGGACTTTCTAAGGGAAACTGCTCGTATATACGTTACACTTGGGTCGAAGTCACGAAAGCACCCATGCTGCCGGCCCGTTCATCAAGATTTGAACCCCCGAACCGACTTACCAGAATTCAATGATTTTACCGCCTCGGCCGCTGGTGAGTTTCATCGGTAACAATTAATCTTTTGAAATGAGTGTTCTTATATGACTTTATTCTTCTAGTTAACGCAAAGTTATGATAAACTAATGTATATTTTTGAAAGACCACTCAGAAAGTTAAGCACAATTCTAGCCATCATTAACCCTAAAAAAAAAATTTAAGATTATTTAAGGCTCGTGTGTACATAAAAATAGTTTTTAACGAACCTCTCTATTAAAATCACTCAACAAACTTTTTAATAATCTTCAAAGAGACTACTGACAACATTGCAGCCCTTTTCAAGCTGATTCCAAGTTAATTCTCAAAGACTGTTCAAACGTATTCTCAGATAGAATAAAATAGTAACAGTAGAATAGAATAGAAGAATGAAACTTTCAGAAAAAGAAAAAATATTACTTTCATTTCATATAGAAAAATATAAATACAATATAAATATCAGAAACTGTTTAATTTTTCAAAACAAAAATTGTAAAAATAAAAACTTTATTCCTTTAATATTATTACTGAATTTCGAAGAAAACTTAATCGGATATAGTATATATCACGAAGTTTGAGTCCTGAAAGTTAAATGTTAAATAATTCGCTTTAGTTTTATAAGGTTTACATTCACAAATTTTACTTAACAATGATTAGTATCCATATCTAATATTAAAATGATTCTTCACTAGAAAACGTACGATAAAGTTTACAAATATTTCCGAACAAGAATTATACAATGAAACAGATGAAGAAAAAAGTGAGAAAAAATGGGATGTAAATATAATCCCTAAAGTTGCTATATCTTCCACTTTATAATGAAGTTGCAAAGAAAGCATGCTTGCCAAACAAAAATAGGTTTATTTCAAGGTGTTTTAATACATTTTAAGTAATGCAGGTACAATTTTCAAATTTATTTGTTAATTTGCCGTGCCATTCGCCAAACGAGGAAGAAGCAACGTAAAACACATATACGCCGATTAGGAAACGAGAGAGGATCCGCAGGCATTCTGCCAATTTACTCCGCTTAAAAAAGAACACTTAAATTTTATCAAGATATAAACAAATGGGCTTTGCATTTCAGTTTTCGAACTCTTATTGTGATGTCGACTTCAATCGCTGAATTTGATCTTAAAGAATGCTTGCGTTTAAGTTTGTTCTGTTTTATTAATAAATATGTATTTGCAAAAGATGAGCTAAAAAGGACACTACAAAACGAAGCTGAACATTTAAGAAAGAAATTAGCTTTGTCTTGTAATACAACTTATTTGTTTAGAGAAAATACGATAAATATAAACGGTTGGTACAGAAAATATAACATCATGACAATAAATGGCAGGTTTAAGTTCTTTAACATTTTTCCAACTGTTACATTAAACAAAAGAATTTCAGCAAAGTTAGCTAGAATTTGTTCCCTAACAGTAAATCTTTCTTTTCTTTGAGATTTTATTGGCACTAATACGTTTATGATATCTTAAAATTCTTCTTCAGACAGAAAGTCACCAGCTGCTTAAAAGTATGAAATACGAAGGGTATTCAACAAGCTCTAAGCCTAATAGTTAAAGAATGACTTAATAATTACACAATGGCGAAATGCCGTGTAACAATTATATCCTTCTTCTAGAGTATAAACTGGAGTAGCAATCGGTTGATTTTTGTGAGGTTGCAAAATGCTGTTAGTAAGTAATACCTGCGATTATAAAAATCATCAAAAGTCGTTCGCTGAGATTCACGAAAAAACAGAAAAACACAGTATCGATAAAAATCTCAGGAATGAAAGGTAAACAATCTAGGGTTACATTGCATCTATTTATGTGATCTGCCGTGGCTATACAAAGACAGCTGTAGTGTGAACGTGTCCACCTGAGAAATGTTCGAAAATTAAGGAATATGCGATGAAAAGTCGATTTGTGACAGCTTCCCAGATTGCGGCTGAAACTCTTGTTAAGCTTTGATCTAATAGTAAAAATGCCATGCGTGAGAATCTAGGTATATCACAGTTATGTGCCTGATGGTTAACTCAGATGTGAATTTCCAAAAAGATAAGTCGGAATAATTATTCTCAAGAACTGTTTTTGTAATAAAAGTATGTAATTTTTATTCACACCTAATTACAACAGCTGAGAAATTGATTTACCACTTCGAGAAACGAAGCAATAGAGCATGGTATGGAATCAAAGTATATCTCTCGGAAAAGTTCAGAATTATGAAGCCTGATAGGAAAACGTTTGGCCGCCATTCGTTAAGATGAAGAGGGGTCATTGCTTATTGATAATCTGCAATGTAAATATTTATTATATGAATTTGTTTACCCAATTCTGATAGGCTATAAAAGGAAATATTGGGGTATATTTAGCAAACAAATGTCGTTTTACATGGCAACGCTGCTGCACGCTAAGCTCAGATTTCCGAAAATTGCTGTTCAGGTATGGGAATTTCCTCATCTTCTTCAACCAACGTCTGCTCTATATTTATCTTCAGGTGGCTTTGTTTCGAAAACTGAAGCAGCACTTTCATTGACAACGCTAAATTGACTCTGAGGAAGAAAGATGCCGTTCAGAAAATGGTTTCAGGATCTGCTTCAGTTGATTCAAAGCCTGCAAAGCACTTTGTTGAGTAAACATGATCAACATTTTGATAGTGATCTGAAATTTCGAGATTTTATTTATATCGAATTAATACATGATTAAAGGGTACGGAATATTCATTTAAAATGGGCTCTATCGTTTTGAATAAATCTATACATAATAAGCTGTCCTCTGAGGATACGCTCTAATCCCACTTAATCTAAATACTAGGTAACCTTTCCTAGACCTGTCGGACAAATTCTCATCCTGTCAAGAGTATTTCAGTTATTTACATAGCAAAAATTAGACTGCAGACTGAAAGTCTGGCTCCAATACAAATGCGTCTTCTGACAATACTAGTAAGGTGAAAGCTAAACTCACCAACAATTAATCACCTCTTCAATTCTACCTCGCATGGAGAACTCTCATCTTCGGACTTCATCATATGTCAGGCTCAGTCGGGATTCTCTGAGGATACTGGCAAGAGCAGGAACGAATCCTCCTGCTGAATGCCAGGAAAAAACCAAAGTATCACTAACAATCAGCCTATCACTTCGGCTTCGGAATCAGAATCACAGCGGTCTTGGTCTAAGAGGCGATTACACTTTAATTTTTAACTTGCTGTTTAAAATCATTTAATATGCATTTCTGGTGAACTTCACAGAAAGCAGAAGTGAGAGAAAAATTTAACATAAATGATGAACTAGTTTGTTAAAATAAATCATATAATTCAAATCTCTGTACTCTTCCGAAAGAAATTTCGAATATACTTTAACTAGTGGCTAACATTTGCTTCAGTGATTCAACAAAATTTCAGTAATATCATTCAAGCTGTGGAATAAAGGAGAAAATTTAGAAAAAAAAAATTATTACAAAGACTGCGCTTTAAAAAAGAATGAGGTTACCTGATCCACTTTTCGCAGAAATTACTGCAGGAACGCCACGATATCTGGGTAGAGCGGCGACGGGATCCGAGTGGAAGGAAGGACAGCTTCACTACTAACTGCCGAGCGGAAAGTCCTGCTTTTCGATAAGGATATTATCAATTTCATCGCGAAGCAGAGTGATTATGAAAAGCAAATATTTAACTCAAGTGCTTACTTTTATTACTGTTATCAGTGCCAATGATGTATCCAATAACAGCAAATTTTCACGGTTTGTAGGAAATGAAGCTCGTTCTCAGTTTATTCCTCTATCTGGGAACGAAAGCATTCTTGATTACCCTCTTGGCAACAGTTAAATTCGAAAAACTTAATTCAGAGAATGAGGTGGTTCTCCGACGGATACTGTTAAGTCAGTGGAAAATGCGGTAAATCTTCGGTTTTATTATGTTTGAATTTGTTTATAAAGAGTGCTTACCTACAATAATGAACTGTTAAATTTTCGTCATTTTTGTTTTAAGTAGCTTTCAATGTACTATGAACTTACCAAATATGGAATGAGTACGCGAATGAATGATCTTTATGATTGTTAGCTGAGTATGTTATGGACGCTTTTGGAGAATCTCGGTTTTACGAAACGTGAATTAGAATAATAAACCGAACTGGTTTCTTAAATTTACGTATCGCTGTCGTATTCTTGTAGCTAGAATAACGGGAGTGTCAACTAATTTTCTGCCATGCAGTCTGCGTAACTTTCGCTAAAAACTGTAATTCGGATACATATAACGTTGTAAAGTGACCAATAGTATAAAATGCATCTGTTAATAGAATGAATTCGAAGCTTAAATGAATACTGCATGCGTTTACATTATCTTTTCTAACATAATGTCTGCCATACACACTTCCTGTGATCTTCAAGAAAAGTCATCGCGCCGTAAAAAGAGTGTTCTTCAACGATTCAGCAGAGACCAGTATTTCCAACAAAAGTAGCTTATGAATAAAATTTTAAATTGCGTGCTATGATCTTGAACCAAATTTTAATGCATTTAATTTTCGTTGTATTTAAATTTCACTGCTTTGTAATATTTACAAGTAATGGGAATTTAAAACCGAGGGCAAGTATGTGTAGAGAAAGCACACATTTTAAAAATTGATCTTTAAATGGTTATTTGTATACTGCAAAGCATATGGCGGTCAAAGGAAGGGATGCCTTTCTGGAGGACTTTCTGATGGAAATTGGTTCACTTTCAGGTAACGCATGAGGGAAAACTATGCGGATATTAACCATGCAGACAGTCCGTTCGCATGGGATCGAACTGCCAGTATTCGGTGGTTTTAACTACTTGGCCAGTGCTTGGACTTGACCATTGCATGAAATGGATTCATTCAAGACATTTGCGAGGAGGACAAATAGCAGACTGCATATAGATTTTGTTTTTCTCCGATTATGTTATGAGGAAACCAGTTATAATTGTGGCGTATCATCGCAGATCTTTCATTGAAGTGAATGACACCTCAGGGAAATTTTGATTTTGTATTTTTGAAAAGTTTGGCAACTAGTAATGAAAAAATTTGATTACTCGTAATTCTGACTCTTTAGACACTTTTTATGTGTATAGCTAATGTTATCAAGACACAAATTAGTTTGCTTTACAATTAAATTAGTTTCCTATACACAAAATAAATTTTATTTTAACGCGGTATCTTTTGATGGCAGCTTTCACTGTGAAGTAAATATTTTCTAAATGCAATGATGATTGTATTGATCTCCTATTTTGAAGCATTAAATGCTTACATCTCCTCCATAGACATATTTAATCATTTTAAATTAATAAAAATATCTTTTTCTAAAGTTTTATTACGGTAATCGAGTAAACACTTTCGTTTCAGTTAATAAAATGTACATATTATTCCACTCTAAAGTACCTGTTTTTGATAATAGCTCTCAATAAGAATCGTTTATATACAAGAATGCACGTCTGAATATTAAGAATAATTCAATTTCAGTTGTATACAACAATGCCATTAATGTAGATTTTAAATTAATATAATTTTACTATGATCTTAATTTTCAGCATAGATAACTGTTTGAATAATTTTACAAAATTACGATTACTGTAATCAGTTCTGTCATCTAAAGTAATTAAAAATCCCGTAGTTTGTGCTCTTTCAAAAGAAGCCTTTTTTAAATGTTTTGCTTTACTTTTCTACTGTGATTCAAAACAGTTATTGATATTTGAGCACAATTTACGAACACGTTTTAATTTTACTTCTTCAGTCGAACTTACAGTGATAACCGTCGTATATCTTCTGTATAATATTTCCCTTTTAAAATATATAGGCATTTTGCAAGGATGTAAAATAATGTATTAGAGCAATTCGTTAATATTATTAGACCAGATAAACGTTTCAAGAGTTAACAGGAATACTAATTTGTTTTTCCTTATGGAACATGAGTATCCATCTGATATTTCAGCCAGAAGAAATTTACAACCAAATAATTGATATTTCAGCCAGATAGCTCTATTGGTGTCAGTCGCAAAAATATTATGATTGAGTTGCAGCTAGGTTCCTTCATTTGATATTTTAGTCAGAAGAAATTTATAACTCCAATTGATGTTCAACCAGGAGAAATTTACAATCCCATAATTTGTCACAGGCTATATGTATACGAAGTTTCTGCCATCATTCACATATTTAATCTGTTCTTTAAAATGCAGTCATTTTATAAAACGCAACTGTAATATCAGGTGGCGCAATATAAACTGAACCGGACATTCTCTGAGTTTAATTGCTTCTGGTTCAGTTTATCTTGGACCACCCAAAATGATCCCAACGAGAACTGAATTAACATCTATTTTTTATTCCTGAAGTAGGATATATGTGCTTACTCTAGGCAAATTTTTATGCATATTTAACTAACATACCTGTATAAATCTTAGTTTTTTTCATGCGTTAGTGTTTATTTCAAAATGTGTCTAATTTTAGATAATCATTTAGATATGTACTACAGCTAGAAATTCACATCGTGGAAGATCTAAATGTCCTTAAACTATCTGAAAGTGATAAATGGGGTTCAATACTCGTTAGTGTCTGAATGCTTAATGATCAGAGTGAGTCTAAAGATTATTGACAAAATTAAGAAACGTATACAGGACTGCAACTAGAGAAGTATTCGGTTTTAGAAGAAATCCTATTCTCATGTAATCTTGAATCAACAGAAGCTATGGAATGTAAAGAACTGTCGTTTGAATTTAATCGCTCTGAGCGAAGAGGCATTTTCGGTTATAAAAGGATTTCCAGTTGTTTTACATAGTATTTGTTTTTATCTCCTATTGTATTCATCGTCAACTTCCATCATGTAAAAAGTTCTATGTCTGTTCGCCCAGTGCGAATATACATAGAAAGACTTTTCTATCTAGAATCCCTTCGGAGACCATGTGTATATATTCGAAATTTGCTATATTCCGACTCTTCGATACTATTTTTATGCCCTTAGACTTTATCACTATTCGTATATGTATATTACGTATATACAGAAATTCTGAAGCCTTTTCAGGATCTTTCATGGAATGTCTTTTCATAGAGGAGTTCGAGGAAAAAAAAATGTGTCGTTGTTTCAAATACATGCAACTAAATGAATTCTTCGGCAGTGGCCAATACCCGTCGGTCATTTAACCGTCTCATCACCGAGCTTGTTTTACAAGACGCACCATAGGTGGCGACCGAGTTTACAGCCATGAGAACAGATACTTAGATACTTTGTTGGTTATTCTGGCATGCAGTGGGAGATGCAGTACTCCTGCTCTTTACAGATTCCTAAATGAGTCTCCTTATGGTCCTGACGTATGTAAAAGTCCAAAGATGAAGCTTTTCGAGTTAAGTTAGGCTTGTAATAGAAAAAGAGAAGCGAAGCCCTGAGCTTCGGTGAACAGCAAGCCATGTCTGGGGCAGCTGCAGAAGGATAGCCATGAGAACAGAGAAGTTCCTTCCTTCTTTTGATCGACTGCAACCCGGGAAATTTGTCTGAGGCTCTTCCCTGTTCCCTTACCACCAAATCACTGGAGAGGATTTTCTGCGCACCATGTATTTTTACGGTTACGCACAGACACTGAATACTTACAAACATCCATGCCTTCTTCGGCAATCAAAAGAGAGTCCATGGGTCAGGGCGTGCGAGAAAAATTTATACGAAATATGTATTACAGGACATACAGGTTGAATAAACATTAGTCAGGTGGAATAATTGCTAGAAAAATTTAATTAGTAGAATTCTTGTCATTAGAATTACTCACATACTCATCATAATAAACGAATTATCTCTTCTCTATAAAACCATGTACTTATTTATAATAATCTGAGCAGTGCAAAACATTATGTATTCTAGGGATGGAAATGACGCTTCAAGAATAAAAATTCATGCACAGAAAGTAATACGATGCATATTAAGATATTAAGAAATGTATGTTTCATATTTAAAATCACCTTATGTGGAGAAGAATTCACATGATGTCACCTCAATTTATTCAGTCTATTATTTAAAAAGTAACATTTATTATGACTAAGCAGTTACTCTTGGGATAAACCTAGAATGATAGATTTATGTACACTACGCAACTCTTTTTCATTAAAGTCTATAGGCTACAGAGTTGCCGAATATTATAGCCCGATTTATATGTCGTCTAAATTAATTATAACTCTGTTGTGTGAAATTAATTTAAAACAAACTTTCAACAAACGACTAATGCGCACAGTTATTTTAATCTTTTGAAGAGTTACTGTCTTTAACAGCTATTTAACTGTCAATACTAGACACAAGTGAAATTAAAATCCGTATATAATTTATTAGGCCTCTCTTGGTGTTTTACAACCGAAATTATAAAATAAACTGAAACAAGGACTTGTTATAAAAACTAATACAGAGCTAAGACTGCTTGCTGTGTAAGCTGAAGTTGAAATTTTTACCAAAAAAAATTTTAATTCAGAGCTATACACCTAATCGGTCTACACCACCTCTAAACTCGTAAATTACTTACGAATAGCACAGCTACTTATCTAACTTTTGCCTTCAGTCGATGCAGCAGAAAAACGAGGACTCAGCGACGAAGCGTTGCGATAAGCACTCCAAAAGCCCACTGGTATGATTTACTCTTGTTTTTAAATTATG